CCAGCCACTCTGCTACCCAAGGCATCTTCACTGCCTCTATCGGATTCCGCCATGAGTGGTGGGGGTCATAGAGTAAGCAAGGGGAGGTGAGTTTGTGAGTGTGCAGCTTTGTCTTCTTGCTCGTAATGGCCACAGCTAGCCCATGGCTGCCACACCTTTTTGCTACATCTCCGCCCTTATTGCCAGGTTTAGCCACAATGGGCACAGCCTACTCAGGCCAGAATGTTGCTTCTGCCCTTCTTACCCTCTGGTCTGCTGTATTAGGGCTACAGCCTGGCTCCTACACCACTATTTCATTAATTGGGCCCACAGCAAGTGCCTAACTGCAACTGGAGCCCCATCTTTGTCTTTCCCCCATCTTTCCTCCCCTGCTTACTTCCATAAGCCCACCTTCGCAGGTCTTGATGTGTGGATCTCTCAGATGTATTTGTGTAGTGAGCAGGGGATCTTATGTCTGACTTGTTGTGACTTTAAGTGGAAAAATAAAAGTTCTTCTCACTCTACCATATAGCTTAAGTCAACCCTATAACATTCTTGAAATTACAGAATTATAGTGATGGAGAGCCCATTTGTGATTGCCAGGGGTTGGGGAAGTTGGTGGGTGAGGTGGATCGCTGAGACTACAAAGGGGTAGCAGAAAGAAATCTTAGCGGTGATGGGAGAGCTCTATAACCTGATGTGGTGGTGGTTACCTAAATCTACACATGCAGAAAAAAACAAACAACCAAAAACAAAACAAAAACAAAGACAAGAAAAAACAATATGTACAAAACAGAAAGAGCTAGTTCAGGATGCATTTTCTAACTAAATGACATGAAGAAAATGTCAAAAAGACTCCTCATTTAGCAATATGTTCATGAAGTCCCAGATGGCTCTACCAAACAACTAAGTTATGAGTTCTGTGAAATAAGCAACTGACCTGACACCTGTAGCTTCCACGTGGCCCCATGGTCAAAAGTCTGGGAACTGAACCAGCATCCATAGGTAGCAGTGTCTGAGAGAGTGACATTCTTCAGCCTCAGGGAGACACGCCCCTCCGCTATGGAGTCCTTCAGTAATTCAGTCCTCCCTCGATAGGCCGGCATCTGCATATGGAGCTCGTCTTTCCCCTCTCTGTAGAGGTGCACCACAGCACGGAACTCATCTCTGAAGAACCACACTTCCATGGCCTCTGCACTTGTCTTAGGAGAGAGGAAGCATGAGAACACTGCGTCCTCCCCAACCACAACCTGGACGGGCTTGTCTGGTCCCATCACCTGCCACTGGCCTGTGGAAGGAAGCACAGGAAATAACTGAGAAAAGACCCTCTCAGTGTGTCCTACTCATGGCTGTGTGTGCCCAAGGGTGTGACATCCACATTATCTCCTTTCCAAACCAGTGACCTGAATCTGTACATTTCTTACACTTGATAGAGCCCTTTCACATCCATTACTTCATTCTGTCTTCACAAACATCCCGACAGGCGTATGTTATTGATATTCCCATTTCCAAGATGAGAACACAATGTCTCAGAGAGACTGAGAAAGTTAATCAAGGGCATGAGAGCACTTTCCAAATGCTGACCTCTGATGGGAGGAGAATCTATACCCACATTCTGTCCTCCCTGCCCATCTGCGTCACCACACACTCACAACAGCCCCTTTTCATGTTCTTTGCTAAAAACTAAAGATGACCTATTTTCCAAAAGGGGAGTATTAACAATAAAATCTCCAGTTTGGGGCAATTTGTTCCCTTCAAATACATGCTCTATCTTATGAATGCTTCAATGGCACAAAAAAGGAATGTCTTTGTCCATAGGTTAAACCTTTATTTGTGCTTCATTATTTTATTTATCTACTTGTTCTGCCAAATTCTGAGAGACATATATGACACAAAGAGATTTTGCAGTTTTTACTTCATAGATTTTCTCTTCAGTGAATTCTTGCTGTCTCTCATTTCCATGCAGTGTACTTTCTTACTTGTGTAACAATTTCTTTTCTCCACTTTGTAATGTTGGCCTGAACGAAGCTTCATTCAGCTTTACCAACAGGTGTTACCTCTGATTTGTCTCTATTTTCTGGGTGCAGCTTTGCCCTTATTTTCATTTTGAAACTTTCTTCATTATCTTGTTTGGAATGTGTATTACTTTTCTGCGAGTCTCTCCTGCATGACTATCAGCTCTGTGAAGACAAGGCCTGTCTGTTTGCTCAGTACAGCACCCCCCAGGCCAAGCACGGTGTTCAGCTTGGAGCATGGGCTCCACAGAAAGCAGTTCCATTATGAATGATGAGCACCTTTTTCTTTGCCACTTGCTCATTTGCTAAGATCATGTCATTAATTTTCCTGCTATAAATCACTCTGATCACTTGTAATGACTATATTTCTTCTTTACAGAGATCACAAACTATGGAGGCTTACTCCCTTTATCTTCTTGAACACACCTCTTTGATTGGCAATGTCTCTTGATTAATTCACATATGTGCAGTTCTGATATGTGCATAGATAAATGTGGTGGGGTGCGAATACTCCAGAGAAAAGCTGGTTACAGTGTGAATTTCCTTTTCAAACATGTGGAAATTCAACCAGGGATCATTTATTTTCAAGTAAGTGAATATTTTTACTTTAGCACCCATTATTTCTTACTTTAAATATGTTTTTAAATTCTCTCTGAAAGGTATTTTGCTCATGCTTTTGAAGAAGAATCTTATGATATAAGATTTGACTTTTTTGCAGGATCTCTGTTGAGCCACTGACCTGGCCAAGCAGACACTGAGTGCTGCCCCTCACCCCACCCTGAGTCCTCCTGCAGTGGGCTGGGCATGTCCCAGGCCCCACCCAAGAGCCTGGCCTCTGCTCCCTGCTGAGGGCTTTCTCTGCCCTTTGGAACCTGCTCAGTCTGGTGCAAGTCAACCCAGAAGCGCTGAGAATGAACCATAGTGGGGTTTCTCAACCCCATTGGGGGCAGGAGGCAGTGAATGTTGGGATGATTCTGGGTTGCAATCTATGTGGCCCCTTAGAAGGTGTTTCCATGTCAGTAATCTGCTCCTTAGAATACTCTGTTTGGTTTTCCTCCCTTCTGGGTTCACTCTTTCCTCTCCCTCACTTTTGTTCCCAGTATCACCTCCTCACCAGCCCCCCTGCAGTCAGACCCTTGTTCCTGCTCTGCTTTGAGGGCTCAGCATAGGTCAGCTGGGCTGCTGCTGTTGTGCCTTTAAGGCTGTGGGAGGCTCTTGAACTGAGAGAACCTTTCCCTGGAGTGTCTCTGTTCCTCTGACCAGCCCTAACTGCTGCTGTCATTTTCCTTGTCTACAACAGCTCCTGACACCCTTTACTCTTCCTTCCCCCAGGGACCAACGAGGAAAAACTGTCTGTCGTTGAACACAGGCTTTGTGCTAATAGAACGCTGTGCTCTGCTCTACGTACACAAACTCATGTGATCGCTACAGCAGCCTGATAAGGGTGTGATGCCATCTCCTGTCACAAGGAGCACACTGACACCTGGCAGGGTTGTGAGCCACACAGTTCATAAGCAGAGGAAATGAATGTTTAAAATAAAGTCTTTCTGCCTCTAAGGTCATTTCCATGACACCCTGCTGCCTCTCCAGGAAACAAAGCAGTCAAAGAAACTCATCAGAAAATGGGTGAGAATGAACTTGAGTGAGAGACTGTCCTGTGAAGAAGACAGATGGGTTTTGCTGTGGAAACATGGAGCATGATTTGATTGCCCTCATTTCTCTCTTCTTTTCCATGATCTACACAACAGACACAGCAGATGAGTGACAGAATGAACTTGTGCAGACTGGACCTTGTAGACTGGACACCACCTGTCCAGAGACAGGGATCCACTCCAGCCTCCAGCTTCCTCCATGAACTTTATTCAGTTACCCAACATCTTACACACCAGCCTTTGTGTCAGTCGTAATGAGAAGAAGAAAGAAAAGTGGACTTTCTCTCAGACTATGCCAGGTTACAACTTAGTCCTCACTCAACAGATCAGGACAACTTTGCCCACCCTCAGGTCACACACCACAGGTGTTTCCCACTCAGCATGTCCACAGCTGGACCATTATCTTTTCCCAAAACATCCTAATCAGTGTCTCCTTCTACCCCGGCACCCATGTCAGAAACCTGGTGCCCTAGTAGAGACCCCCTGCCTAAACTCCACAGCACATCTGGAACAAACATTTAATTATTTCACTTTCACATCCTTGCTCTGTCTCCTCCCCACTATCAGGCTTGTCTTCAGCACTCTTTGCTGTGAGTCCTGGGCTACTATCACAGTGTGCACAGTGCCCGAGACCTTTACGCCACCCCTGTTTCCCACAGCCACTGGCGTTGATACTTGTTAGCCTGGCGCAGAAGTTGAGGAAACGCAAGCAAGAAATATGCCCCATCTCATTGTGCTGTGATCATGTAGCTAAAGAACTCAAAACATTACCCAAAAAGAAGAGAGAGAGAGAGAGAGAGAGAGAGAGAGAGAGAGAGAGAGAGAGAGTCCTGCCTGGAGACTTACCTGACCCCAGCCTGAGGAGGCTGAGAAGCAAAGTGAGCACAAGGACCCCAAGGCCCATGGATGTGTCTGCAGGCCGATCTCACACTGTGGAAACAGACGACAGCAGGGACAGGTGGATGGATTAATTAGAAAGAAGAGGGGTCAGCCCAGCTTCTGAGCTGAGGAGCCATGAAGAGGCCAAGCTTGCGCTGATGGCAAGCTGCACCATTCTTCTTAGAGTCACCTGACCTATACATGACCCTGTGTGTTAGGGGAGAGGGAACTCTGCACTCTGAATCACTGCATTTATTGGCCGGTCATAAACATCCATCTCAGACCAAGGAAGCAATGATAGGAAGGGGGGTGGGGCGCACTGGGAGGGGTTTTTCCTGGGTCAAGACTGTGCCCTGGGTGGGTGGCATGGTAGTGTCAGATGCAGATACATCTTAAGGCCCAATCTGACATGTAGAACTTTATGGGTGTGGGAATCTAGTCCCAAAAATGAAGTTGTCCCAGCAGAGGGTCAAAGGTTCACAGGTTGTACAGGCAAATAGTTGCCTTTCCACAAAGAATAATGAAAAGCAGAAGAGATTAACGTTTCCTGACACAACCTGAAGTAATATATGTACTGTGTCCCCTCATTTGTCTTGAATTCATGGCCAAGACTCTCCTTATGAGGGCATATGGAGAAGAACTTGCTAGAATAAGGACCTTAGTTCCAAGTACCCAAAGTATTGGGAACGGTGCCAGGGCAGGTTCAGACCTTAGGGTGAGGCAAAGACCCACTCACTCATC